AAAAAAAAAAAAATAAATAAATTATTAACAGAAAAAAAAAAAAAACTGATCTGCCTAAGAATGCATTTGAACTGCAATCCACCAGTTTTCCTGTTGTCTTTATTTTTCCACAATGACTCTGTTTCTACTCTCAAAGAAGAAAGCATCCTTCATCACACATCCCAAATTTTGTTACAATGCATTGACTACAGAAGGCTCCAGAACATAAAACAAAGGGGTAATTCGAGAAAGAATTGATGCTAAGAAATACACTAACAGCCAAGCAAGGAAAATTGGAGGGAAACATCTTTATTTTCATCCTGAGTGTTCTCCTGTTACAAGTTTATATCTCACAGTTGGAATTCAGAGATGGAATATTTTCACAGAAAAGTATTAACATGTTAAAATGAAGTCAAGCTTGTTACTGACAGACAAGTTATGTCATAAAGAGAGATTGGCAATGATGACTGATTTAAACAATTAGATTATATAGTCAACATTTACTTATCATGTTAAATTTCATTTAGGAGGTCAGTAACAAAAAATTTAAATGACATATAATTGCACTTTAAATTTCATATATAAAATACTTATAATTTTAAGTCACTACAGAGACATTATCAATGTTATATATTGCTTATATACTTCAATGAATATTGTCAAAACTTTCAAGCTTCAGATTTACCACATTCAGTTTATGACACTGGGGAAAACACATGCACTAACATACATGCACATGCACACATGTGCTCACATACACACACACACACACACACACACACACACACACACACACACACACACGTATACAGTAGGACCTGGGAAAATAACATCCTAAAGAAAGAGTATACTTTTCACTCAGGATCCTTTACATAAATGAGTATATAGCCTAACGAACATGATGCAGCAGGAGCTCTAAATTTAGGGAAGAATCAAGTCTCACAGTAAGCCAAGAAGTTACAGAATCCAAACAAGGAGTACAAAAGTTGAACTGCAACTGGAAAAGGTCCTTTAAGGGCTTGGAGGATGGGTCGGTCACTAAAGTGCTTGTCAGGCGAGCACGAAGACCTGAGTTCCAATACCAAGAAGCCATGAAAAAAGCCAGCTGTGGTGACAAGAGCATGTCATCCCAGTGATGGGAAGCAGAAGCACAAAAACCTGAAATGGATTCCCATACCCATGCAGCACTGGTGAAGTGAAAACAAACTATTCCTGGGCCTCGCTGGCCATCCAATCTGGTCTATTTGGTGAGCCTGTGAGAGACCCTGCCCCAAGGATAAAGTGAAAAGTGCTGGAGGCTGTTCTCTGGCCTCCACATGAAAACATCAGCGTGCACCTATGCATGAGCACACAGGCAAACACACGTGAACACACAAAAGAATGAACAAACATGGTCATTAGGGAGTCCATATGTGCTGTACAGCTTTATGTCAACTTGACACAAGCTGAAGTCATCTGAGAGGAGCTCTTATGTCTCCATAGGATCTGGCTGTAGGCAAGCCAGTTGGGCATTTTCTTAGTGATTAATGGGGCAGGGCCAGGCATTGTGGGTGGTATGGGTGGAACCATCCCTAGGCTGGTGGTCTTGGGTTCTATAAGAAAGCAGGCTGAGCAAACCATGGGGAACAAGCCAGTAAGAAACAGCCCTCTATGGTCTCTATATCAGCTCCTGCCTCCAGGTTCCTGCCCTGTTTGAGTTCCTGTGCTGACTTCCTTCAATGATGAACTATAATGTTCAACTTTAAGACAAATAAGCCCTTTCCTCCCCAACTTGCTCTTAGGTCATAGTATTATATTGAAACAATAGAAACCCTAACTAAGCAGCATAAAAACCCTAGAGTTTACAGGAAGTCAAGGTTCTAGTTTGGGGTAAGGCATGCATTTGGTGGCATTCTTTCCCCCTAATTCATGAGGTTGGACTGATTGAGCAATATACATATATATGGTTGAATATCTGTGACTATAACATTGGTATATTTCTGCTGTGAACACTGTTGACTATTCATCTTTGTCAGCACGTGAGTATCAGAAGACACTGACCAAAACATTGGACTATGCAGGACTTTGAGATCTGTGAAATACAGCACCGATTTCCAATGGGAAAGCAACGACACTGAAACCTGATGTTTATACCCAGAGCCTGGGCTGCTCTCAACCTTGGCCAAAGAAGCTGCCTTCGGCAGTGGACAGCAGTCGGTGGAGAGCTGTGTGCCTGGTCAGAGTACTCAGAAAAAGAGAATAGGGGCTCACCCCTAAGTGGGACATCACCACTACCATCAAGACTCAGGGAATGCGACCAAAGAAAAGGAAGAATGAATATAGGAAATGGAGGACGGGGAAGGAGACTACTGTGAAATGTTGTTGTTCCAGACATGACGATGTTATTGCAATCATGATGATGTAATTGCAATCATGAACACTGAGTCAGTCAGTAACTCCCTAATTTACATCATTAGTTACCTCCTGCTGAGATGAAGCAAACATCTCATCTCCAAGTCTCTCTTATGCATAACTCCCGTTTTGAAAGACTTAGTTATTATGTGTATGGAACAGGGACTATGTGCACCTGTGTTCAGGAGCCTGGGGACACCAGAAGAGCAAGATCTCCTGGAGCTGGAGTCACAAAGAGTTGTGACCCACCTGATGTGGGAACGGGAACTTAAACTCTGGTTCTCTGGAAAAGAAGTATGAACTATTAACCACAGAGCCTCCTCTTTCCAGCATGACTCGAAGCTTACAGTTTAGTTCTGCATACGCTATTCTCCTACTACAAAATCAAGTTTTCTCTAAAAATGTA